GCCACACACACCCTTACTCATTTGACTTTTCTAGAACAAATGTAAAGAACTGTCTCTTTCCTGAGTGAAGAGTACTTATAAAACCAGTTCCATGTCTCACAGTTTGACAAAAGACAGAGGCCAAACCGAAGCCAATGGAAAGTTAAAGCCTTGTTTGTTTGCTGAAGATTTATTCTGGGGCTGGAGAGATGTCTCGATGGTTAAGGGCACTGGCTGTTCTTGCAGAAGACCTGGGTTCAAATCTCAGCACTCACATAACAGGCTAACAACCATCCATCATCCATAACTCCAGTTTGGGGTGGGGTCCAAGGCCCTCTTCTGTCCTCCGCGGGCATTGCATGACACGGGTGCACATATACACATGCAAGCCTAATGCTCATACACAAAATAAAATAAAATTTAAAAAACATTTACTTATGTCTATTTTCTGTTTTGCCTGCATGTATGAATGTGTACCATGTGTACACCCGGTGCCACCGGAGGCCAGAAGTGGGCATTAGATTCCTGGAACTGGAATTGCAGGTATTGTGAGCTGCCGTGTGGGTGCTAGAAATAGAACCTTGGTCCTCTGCAAGGGCAGCAAGTGCTTTTAACCCGAGCCATCTCTCCAGCCCTGTCTTGGTGGTGTGTGTGTGTGTGTGCACGCTGTTGTTTTGAGACAGTTGCTGTGTTGCTGTTGTTTTGAGACAGTCTCACTACAAGCCCTGGTGGTCTGGAAAGTGCTATGTAGACCAGGCTGACTTTGAACTCAGAGATCTGCCTGCCTCTGCCTCCCAAGTGCTGCAACTAAAGGTGTGCAGCACCATGTTTGTTTTATTTATTTGCTTTTATTTTATGTGTAAAAGTATTCTGTCAGCATATATGTAAGAGTACCATATGTGTGCAGTGCCCATGGGGGCCAGAAGAGGGCGTCAGATCCCCTGAAGTTATAGACATTTGTTAGTTACCATGTGGGTAGTAGGATCCAAACCCTGGCTCTCTACAAGAGAGCAGTCAGTGTTCTTAAATGCTGAGCTATCTCTCCAGCCACTCCCACCTTGTTTGTTTTTAATCAAACTATTCTATGTCAGGGAAGTTCAGCACACCTTTAATCCCAGCACCCTGGAGGCAGAGGCAGGAGGATCTCTGTGAGTTTGAGGCCAGCCTGGTCTACATAGTTAGTTCCAAGTCAGCTGGGTGGTTCAGGCTACAGGGAGACCCTGTCTCAGAAAGACCGAAAAAAAAGACAGGGCACCAATGGGCCAGTGGACACTCGGGACAGATTCAGGTCTCTCCTTCCAGGCTGAGATGTCATTTACGAACTGAGGCCCAGCTGGGGGACTTGCTTCAGACAGTCAGTTCTGTATAAGCTCAGGGTGTGTACCACCATGCTTTATTTTCCGGCCCCGGCACTGCAATGATCTGGACAATAGTGACTCCAGCAGCCTGCTGTCTGGACTGAGACCATAACCAGTCCTCAGTAAACATACAGTATGAGCAAGAAACAGACCCTAAGCTGGGGAAATGGCTCACTGGGTAAGAGTGCTTGCTGCAAAAGCAGGACATGGATTCCAGTTCTCACTGGCGGAGGCCTGTGCACCTCTAACCTGTGGAGGGGGTTGTGGAGGCAGAAGGATCTACTGGCCAGCCAGACTAGCTGAAAACAACGCTGAGCTCCAGGCTCAGTGAGAGACCCCGTCTCAAGGGCAAGAGGAGGAAGACAGCAGGATGTCCCCTCCATGTGCTTGCAGGGGCACCTGCTCCTCTACATTGTGTACACACACCTATATACCCCATGCCAACAGATTTTTTAGAAAAAAGAAAAAAAAGCTTTATCTTTTATTTTTCTGGTTTTTTAGGAGACTGAGTTTCATGTAGCCCAGGCTGGCCTCAAACTTAGGTAGCCAAGGATGACCTTGAAGTCCTGACTTGCCTGCCTCCACCTCCCAAGTGCTGGGATTACAGGCTGGCACTACCAGCTAACCTTTTCACCATCTTAAGCCACTGACATTTGAAGATTATAACCTCATCTACTCTACCATGATTTTTTTTTCTTTTTTGGTCTTTTTTAGACAGGGTCTCCCTGTAGCTCCAGGTGGCCTGGAACTCACTATGTAGATTAGGCTGGCCTTGAACTCACAGAGATCCGCCTGCCTCTGCCTCTGGGATTAACATTTAGGGATTTCAGAACTGAGAGATGGAGTTAGAGCTTACAAGTGGGAAAGAAACTAGAGCAGAAAAATGATGAGAAATGATCCAGTAGCAAATGTTCAACAATATGGCGTCAGCTGGGCATGGTGGAGCATGTTCGCAATCCAGCAGGGGAGGTGGAGGCGTGGGGATCGGTGTTCAAGGCCAGGGCCATACAGGAAGTTCTAGACCAGCCCTGGCTACAAAAGACCCTGCCTCAAAATAAAGAACAGACGAAAGAAATAAAAGGGGAGAGAGAAAGAAAAGAAAGGAAGAAAGAACCATCGGGAAAAAGGATTTTAGGGAAACTTGAGGAAATTTAAAGTTTAAAATTAAATTTAATTTCAGTTTTAAAGGGTTCTCTTGACAGGAAAATGGACAAAGGACCCAGAGTGGCTCTGTACGCATTTGATCCCAGCATTCAGAAGCAGAGACAGAATTTGAGTTTGAGGCCAGCCTGGATGAATTGAAGATTATGACTCAAAAAGACCAAAACAAACGGGTGCGGGAGATGGTTCAGCAGGTGAAAGTACTTGCTTAAGGACACCTGAGGACCTAAGTTTCAGCACCTGAAACCACATAAAAATCAGATGCTGCAGAGCACATCTGCAATCCCACACTCCTTGGGTGAGGTTGGAGACATGTAGAACAGCCTGGAAGCTTACAGGCAGTGCTCCTGGAAGAGGGTGAATTGACTCTGACCTTCCGACCTCCCATGCTGACACAAAAACAAAACCAACCTCCAATTCCACAGAAGCAAGTACTGGGAAAGTGAACTTGCCTAGCCTGCTCAAGGCCTCGGGCTTGATCACACACACACACACACACATACACACACAGCAATCACAGTATCAACGCAGTGAGCTCTCATTTCTCACCCGCAGTCTGACAGGATCTGTTCTCTGGACGTAGGCTTCCAGTGTGAAAAAGGAGTATGTTCTTTCTCCCATTGCACTGGCAAGAATAAGAGCTCGTATGGCCTCTACCTAAATGTATGATGGGCTGGGAAGTTTGTGTATGCCAGTGGGAAGAGCTTAGGTACACACACTCCAAAGTGCAAACCTACCTAGTACCATCTTTCACCAACAGAATGGGAAGAGATCCCAAAATCTGATGTTAGCCAGAGTGGGGGATAAAAATCCCCTTAAACATTGCTGGTGGGGCGTAGGGTGGTTCCACCTCCAATGGAAACAATTGCCTCCCACCTCCCAAGTACTAGGATGACAGGTGTGCACACCTAGCTATACAATAAAATGTGTGTGGTCTTGAGCAGTTTAACCACATGCATCTTCCATCTGTAAAACAAGACCAACCTCTGTATGTACATCTTACAGGTCTGAGACCCAAGTGCTGTCTTTCTAAAAATTCAAAGGCTGGGCATGGCGATGCTGTGACCTCAGCAAGCAGGAAGCTGAGACAAACGTTCGAAGCCCAAAGCTACACCTTAAGACTGTCTCCGTAAGTCAGTCAAACCAGCCAGGAAGCTGGGCACGGTGGAGCACTTTTAATCCCAGGCCTCAGGAGGTAAGGGGCCGGCCTGGTCTACAAGCACACACAAAAAAAGAAAAGGCCAGGAGCAGTGATGTCAGCCCTGGGGAGGTAGACACAGGGAGTGTGAGTTCAAGGCCAATCTCCGCTGCAGGGTAACAGGTTTTCAATTCTCTAGGGAAAAAGTTCTGCAAGGAAGGGATTCTGATGAGAAGCTGGAGAGACCCAGTGGACAGAGGGCCATTTGTTTAGCAGGATCCCTCCGGCTAGCCCTCCAGGATATCCTGGAGGGTGCAATGGAGTCAGACCTTTATCCGGAGCTCTCTTCTTACCACAGTAGCTTGGTAAGGTCTTTAAAAGGTCTTTGTGCAATGCTGAGGACTGAACCCCCCGCCTCGTTCATATTAAGTTAGATCACAGCTGCAGCGCCAGCCCCAAGCGTTTTGCTTTTCTGGATCTTGAAATGTAAAAAAGTGACAGAAAATTCCCAAGTATCACATTTTCCTCTTATACTGGCTATTTCTACCATTACTTTTTTTGCAGATTGCTTCATAGCGCATCAGAACTGTAAAAAATAACATAAGGTCCACTTGTTTAACACATTTATTTTAGTTGAACAACCTCTACACACAATTTTTGTTGAATAGAAATTTTATTTAGGTCTCAAGACCTGCTACAGGTTATTTTCTGGAAATCAATTCACCCCTTCAAAATTCCAAGAGAAAAGTCAATTTAAGGAAAACATTAGATTTTGAAATCGTGCTATCTGCTTTTAAGACCGCAAACATGGGTTTGTACTAAGGAAAATTCCTTTTATAATTTTCCATTCTCAGATTCACTCTGGGAACAGTAGTGTACCAGACAAGACACAAACAATGCGGCAGCAGACTCAACTGTGTGACCAGGGATGGGGAACTGCAGACGGTATGTACAGTCACACTGCAGAGTGAAATCCTGCCACCAACTGACTTTCCTATCCTTACAGCTGTGAATACAGTGAACGGACTCAAGATGAACTAACTGATCTTAGACCCATCTTTACTTGTGATGTCACTAGAGGGTTTCTCAATGGTCACAAACTATTCAGATCAAAATTTTCTATGAACTCCCTTGGCACTCACTAAATCCCACCAGGGAGGGCATTCCTTGCTAGTCTGCAAACCTCAGGGAAACAATTTACACAATGTCCAATCTCATTCAGGGCCATTCCAACCTGAATGAGTGATCTCGCCTCACATTCACGCTCCATCAGCTCCAACTCAGTGACACCACCAAGCCCAGCCTCTAGACCCCCCACGTACAACGATGGTACTGTGAAGACTTGGCCAACTGTAAGTTAACCCAAATTTATTTGGGAGAGACTTCTTACAAGTTCACCTCACCTGGTTCTTAACAGTGGCATTTTTGAAACTACTTTCAGAGGCAGCAGCTGGACAAATGGAAAACTGGACTCAATGTTTCACATAGGTGGCAGTTGATCTCACCTCCCTACCAGTATCACGACACAGGCTGGGAAAGCATCTCATGCCTATGCATTTCTAAGCAAAATCCAACCCTAACTTTGTACTTGTCAAACTCCCAGCAAGCAGCCACTTGAAGCCAGAACACTGCACTGCTACCACATGCACCAAGCAAGTCTACAGGCTAGTTCAGCACTCTATATTTTACATCTACGACACCTCACAGCATGTCAACACAGCACATGTAACTCCTAGTAAGAAAACCGAACCACAGCAGTTCTGATTAGAAACGAGACACACCATCACTCGCCTTCAACATTATTGCACCTTAACTGCTATAATTCCACAAAGCACTCATGAAATGATCTGAGACTAATTTTAACAGACAAATAACACCTTTAAGCAGACGTGACTGTCCTAAGTTGTTTATTGGGTATGAATTTTACAAACACGACTTGTATTAGCGGTAACGGTGGAGCTGCAGAGTGTTGCGCCGCCTCCAGGCTGCGCGGCGAGAACCACCAATAGTGTGGTGGAACTTGTGGCCCTTTCCAAGGCCACGGCTCTTACGGCCTGCAGATGTCAGCCCACGCATCTCCCTGTGCTTGTGGACTGGTCTGGTGATCCACTGGGTGTCAGGATTTCTCCTGATCGCTTTGTGGAATGGATCGATGAGGATAACCTCAAAGAACTTGTATGTGGAGTCTTCGCCAACCCAGTAAGAGTTCAGGACTCTCAAGGCCCCACAGTGGCGTCCAGCTCTCTCCTGGAATAGGAAAAACCGGGGAAGGTCAGCCTCCCCTACTGCTCACAGGGGTCCCCCCATCCCTTCAGTAACAGGATCATGCCCAGGGCCTACTACAACAGAACACAGCCTGGCATGCGTAAGAAACCTCAACTGCTGACAGATTAGCAACCTAAGCATTGCGACACGGCAAGTCTGCTCCTCAAGAACAAGCAGCACATCCTCAGTTCAGTGACACTGGCTCCCTGACAGTAACTGCTCTTTGCCAAGGCTAAATCAAAAAAAAGAAATCTCAAAACTGGGGCCGGAGAGAGCTGCTCAGCAGTTAAGAGCACTGACTGCTCTCACAGAGGACCCGGGCTCAAATCCCAGCAGCCACATGGTGGTTAAACATCCTGAGCTCCACTCCAAGGCCTCCTGTCCTCCCCCAGCACTGTACAAGAGGGCACTCACATGGACACATGACATATCCACATTCAAAAAACACCGCAGCCCACTACTCCCCTTGCACACGGGGAAAAACAAGGTGTCTCCCCGCCCCCAAGGTGCTCAACACCGGTCCTCCGAACACTTACCTCGGCCACAGACTGAAGGCTCCGGGCGAACTTGAGCTGGTTGACACCGTGATGGACAGGCTTGCCGTAGGTTGCACCCTTAGGAACAGGGCGCTTGCGGCCACCGCGGCGAACACGAATCCTGTATATGACGTAACCTATCCACAACACAAAGCGCCCACAGTGATGAGACCCACGCCACGCTTTCCCCTGCTTCCTGCCAATCACACGGGAAGGCGCATCCCTCCGCCAGGGCTCAGACAATAGCGTGCGGGGCCACCCACTACCTCAGCCGCACGTTCGTGCAACCACGCGGAGCTGCACCTGGGGGTCGCTGCACTGCACTGGGGAGGAACCTATGCCGCACTGCACGCGGGGCCGCAGCGTCACGGCGACCCTCCTACCTTGCTTGGCCTTGTAGCCCAGCCTGCGCGCTTTGTCCGGCCGGGTGGGGCGGGGCGCCCGGTGCAGCGCCGACAGCTGCCGGTATTGCCAGCAGCGCACCCGCAGCAGGAAGCGCATCACGTCCGACTGCTTCTTCCTCCACAGCTCCTGGATGTACTTGTAGGCACCCATGTCGGCTCACCTGGGGACGGAGCACGCTGGAGCCGCCGCGGCCGGACGGACACGCGCACGGCCCCTGGGCTCGCCGCCGCCAACTCGAGGACCCGGCCTCGACCTCCCCGCCCGGCCTCCGTCCTCCGCCCCGCGCCTCCCCCAGGCCCAGGCCCGGGCCCGGACCCGGTCCCGCCGCCATCATCTCGCCCCAGACCGTCCCGATGGCCGTGTCGCCGCGCCCCGGCCGCCCCGCATCCTGACAGGACGCCCGCGCGCGCCCGACCCTCCGATGCCGCAGGGCCGCTAGGGCCGGATGGCTCTGTACGAGCGGGATTCGCGACGGATGGAGGCACGAAGCCTCACGCCCTGCCTACCTGATGGCCGCCGTCAGACGGAAAGGAAGAAGCCTTTCTCCCACAATCCCCTTTGTGGCTCCTCCCCCACGTCGGAGAGCCTCCTTCCGGTAGGGTGAGGAGGCCTCCCGGAGCCTCATGGGACATGTAGTTCTGACTTCCAGGCTGGTGGGCGGAGCCCAGCATGGATTGGTCGTCGCTACCGGATGTCCCGTCCCCAGCACCCGGGTGCCTGATGTGGAGTTCGCTGCCTGGCCGTGCGGGCTGCAGAGCGGCGTCCGCGGACAGGTTCGGACCCTACGCTGTCAGGTGGGTGTTCCCGCCCGCTGCTCCTCTGGACCTGGGAGCGCGGAGCTGCGGGCGTCGGAAGCCCGGGCGTGGGTGGAGGCGGCCGTTACTTGCTGGGACGAGTGTCCGCTGCTATGCAGTGGGTTGGAATAAACACGAATTTAGTGCGGAGCTGGCGCGTGCTTCCGCTCAGACCTTTGTCAGCGACCTGGGGGGCCGGGGCGGGAGCCTGGGGAGCTGCCCCGACTCTTGCCCCGGCCCGGCCGTCTGTCTGCACCCGAGCGTGTGCACTGAGTCCTGGGTCACGGAGAACAGGGCAGCCCGCGCAGCGGGTGCAGGCCGGGTGGGGTGTAGGCAGGATGGGGTGCACACCAGGTGGGGTGCAGGCCGGGTGGGGGTGCAGGCTGGATGGGGTGCAGGCCGGGTGGGGGATGGGGTGCACACCAGGTGGGGGTGCAGGCTGGTTGGGGTGCAGGCCGGGTGGGGTGCAGGCTTCACTAATCAGCTCTCTCTAGGAATACATGGTGAACTTGCCGTTCTAGATGGAGTGTTCAGGATAAGGTTTCTTGAGGTCGCGCTGGAGGATAAGCTTCAAGCGTGGAGCGTAGTTCAAAGGTCAAGGCATGTGCTTAGCATGGGAGAGGCTGAGGGATCAGACCCCAGCACACAAACTCAACGGGAACAACAGCAAAACCTGAAGGTTGTAGGTTGGGGTCAGGAGTTTGGTCGGAGCAGAGGGTTAAGACAGAGAAGGGACAGGAAAGCCCTGAGGTTCTGGGCTTGGTTTCATTTTAAAACCATGACTTGGATTGCGGATTTGAGATTAAAATTAGGGAAGAGAAAAGTAGACCAGGAAGAAGGTTCTAGTGGTCTCCCTTACAGCAAGGAGAAGAAGCTTCGTTAGAGATAAGTTTTTCATTTTATTTTTTTTGCCATGTGGTCTTGGCTGGCCTGGAATTTGCTGTGTAGCCTGGGCTGGCTTCAGATTTTCAAGAATCCTTTCTCCAGTGCTGAGAGTCGGGCCACTCACCAGGCCTGGCCTCCATTACAACACATTGAATGGATCAAAACAGACATTTAGCACTTCCTAGTTTGTACATCAGAAATTTCACTAGGCTAAAATCAAGGTGTCTGTAGGGAACACCCCAGCTCTCAAGGCTGCCTGTGTCCCTTGGCTGCCACTGCTTCCTGTCCTGTACCTTCCCTCTTCCCTTTCAAACACTGGTCATGAAAGCACTTGTGATCACACCCCATCTTCATCTCAGGTTAATTCAGTCACACCTGCAGAACTCTTTGAGTACTCAGGTTCCTGGTATTTGAATGGGGACTTCCTTGGGACACCTCTGTAGAGCTGGAAAAGGAGGTTGGTGCAGCATGGGTCCCACCTGGATGTATTTCAGAGGGAGAGATAACAGAACTTACTGGTGGATCCTGTGAGGCGTGAGAAAAATGAGTTGAGGATGATTGACTCACAAGGAGTCATTTGGAAAGATGATTTGGGCAGTGTGCATAATCACTGCTGACTTAATGGTTTTAATGTTTTATTTCTCAAATTGCAGTTTCTCAGTTAGTTCAACAGGATGTGTTCATGTTTCCAGTTGGTTTGGGGGCTCCTTAGGGCTCATTTCTGGTTTTGCCCTTTAGTTTGTCCCTAAAATTTGGCATTATGTAAGGTCACAAGTATTTGTTAAATGAATTAAAGAGTGGTAAGCTAGGGACTGGAGAGATGGCTCAGCGGTTAAGCGCACTGGCTGCTCTTGCAGAGGACCTGGGTTCAGTTCTCAGCACCCACATGGCAGCTAACAACGGTCCATAACTCTAATTCCAGGGGATCCGATGCCCTCTTCTGATCTCCTCAGGCATTGCACAACGTGGGTGCACTCACATACATGCAGGCAATACACTCATACATACAAAATAATAAAATATTTTTAAAAAATGGTAAGCTGGAATCTGCTTACTATATATTACATGAGAAATTATTTACAAAACCCTTTGTTATTTCGTCCCCCCCCTTTGGGAGCTGAGGACCGAACCCAGGGCCTTGTGCTTGCTAGGCAAGTGCTCTACCACTGAGCTAAATCCCCAGCCCCATAAAACCTATTTAAAACATTTTTATATATGGATAGGTATGTGTCAAATACATTTAGGTAAGTAAATACAGCGTAGAAGCTCTACCCAGCTGGTGCTACATGGATGCCACACTTATGCCTGTGGAGGCCAGGGTTCAACCTTGGGTGTGTGTTCCACAGATGTCATCCACCTTGGTATTTTGGAGTTGGGATCTCTCTTTGGCTTGGGACTCTCCAATTAGGCTCAGCAGGCTGGTTGGCTAGTGAGCCCAAGGACAAGCCGGTGCTCACGCCCCAGCACAAGCACAGGTGCACACCACCATCTCCTTGTTTTGCATTCTGGGATAAAGTTGATGTCCTCACACTGCTTGCAAGCCCTTGACTGACTGAGCCAGCTCCCTGGACCCTGATGCTCTTTGCTGTATTGTATTTAATTTTATTTATTTATTTTGAGACAGGGTCTCCCTGTAGCCCCAGCTGGGCTGGAATTCCCTATGTAGACCAGGCTGGCCTCAAATTTTATAGCGATCCACCTACCTCTGCCTTTCAAGGGCTGGGCTGAATTTTTTCTTTCTTTTTTTTCTTTTTTTTCAGTCTCCCTGTAGCCTCATCTGGCCTGGAACTCACTATGTAGGCCAGGCTGGCCTCTAACAAAATTGCCTGTCTCTGCCTTGTGAGTACTGGGGTTTAAAAGGAGTGTACTACCATGCCTGGCTGAAATTTGGATTTTTATTTATTAATTATTATTATTGTCATTATTATTATTTTGGTCTGAGACAAGGTCTCCCTGTAGCCCCAGATGGCCTGGAACTCAGTGTGTAAACCAGGCTGGCCTTGAACTCACAGATCCATCTGCCTCTACCTCCCAAGTGCTGGGATTAAAGGCATGTGCCGCCATACCCAGTGAAATCTGGATTTTTAAATGTCAGTTTTCTGTGTTGGCTTCTGATATTTCGCCTCTGGAAAAACAAAGGCTTGAGGAGAACAGAAGAAAATGTTCCCTGACTTGGCTCTTCTTTGGATGTAAGTTGGGGATCTAGGAGAGAGAATCCCTTCTTCTTGTTTAAGGTGTTTGGGCAATTTTTCTAGCATTATCCATTTTTCCAAAAAAGTATTGGATGTGAGGGCTACCTGGCCACCACATCTGTCACCCCATTGATCACCAGGGTTGATTCAGCTGATCTGGCTGGCTAGGCAGTTGACCCCTTCCTCCTTCGCTGTTCCATGTGTGTCCCTCCTGAAGCTGCCCAAGGATGACCTTCTGTGATAGAGGAGGACTGTAGGGATGACTTACAAGATGAATATAATTGGCAGGATTGACTTTTAATTAACCCTAGCAAATCCTCTTACCTTGCGTCCTGTGACCTGGGCCCCTGCTCTCATTCCCTTAGGAATCTCAATTTGGTATGCCATCCAAAAAGATAATGAATGTGGGTATGCTTGAGAACTGACCTAGCAAAGCTCTGAAAGGCAAGCACACCGTCTCCACAGCACACAGTGGAGATTGGGAAGGACATGTGACCTTGGGTGAATGAGATGTTCCAGAACTAGGGGTGAAAGCTGGATGGTCTGTGAAGATTAGGGTGGAGCCAAACTTGTACTTCCCCAATTGAGGCTGGAGAAACCATTTTGAATAAAATCATGGGTGGGGCCTGACCAGCACAGTGCCAGAAGGTAGACAATTATAAGAGACATCTGGGGGAAAAATGTCCTCCAAGTTTGGGTCCACTCTTAAAAACTAAATTTAAGAGCCAGGCTTTTTGTTGAGGTGATGGTAATGTTTATGTAAGGGTGCAGAGAACAGGTCTTCAAGGGTATACAAGTAGATGTGCCTCCCTGCTAGACCTGCCAAACAAGCTTTCAGAGAGTGACCTAAGTGCCACGTGACTCCCCAAATCCACCCCTTCCGCTGTGCCAGGAGTGGCGGCAGTGCTTTGAACAAAAGGGTCCATTCACGATACAGAAGTTTTACCTTCATGTCTTTTCAGATCTTTATTTGAATGTTTGGTTTTCAAGGTAAATATTGAGTGGTCAGTCTCTTCCGTGATGCTATTGGATTCTGACAGACTCAGTATTGAAATATTCTTCAGATGATAGATCATGTGTACAGTGTGCTAGAGAGATGGCTCAGTGGTTGAGAGCACTTACTGGTCTTCCAGAGGACCTGGGTTCAGTTCCCAGCAGCCACATTGCTGCCAATACCCATCCTTATCCAGTTCGAGGGGTTCCAAGGCCTTCTGGTCTTTGTGGGAAACAGGCACATACATGGTGCACTAACATGCAGGCCAAACACACATAAAATGTTAAAATCATGTGCAAATATATTGAGGTGTTCCCTTTTTTAGTCTTTTGAGACAGGGTCTTGACTCATGGCAATCCTCCTGTCTCCATGCTTCATCCCTGTCTCTGGTGCTAGGGTTATTATTGCCTGAGCAGCCATGCCCGGCTGTCAGCATTCTGTCTGCTCTTGAGCTCACTATGAGGTTGAAGTCCGTCCTGCCTCTGCCTTCTGTCTGCAGGGATTACATGAAGATGTGTGAGCTTGTCCTAAGGGAGCTAATAGCCTTGGCATAGAGTTTGGAAGGATTGATTTATACTGTGTCCTTTGTAATGTTTGAAATTTTCCTGTATTACTGATTCAGTTTAAACATAGGAAGAAATTGTATTTCAGCTTGTGCAGTTTTTAAGAGCTTATATTCTCCCCACAGAGCCATTCTGAGAAGATGGGAAAGGGCTGCAAGGTCGTTGTTTGCGGGTTGTTGTCCGTGGGGAAGACTGCGATTTTGGAGCAGCTCCTTTACGGGAATCACACTGTTGGTAAGATGGTTTTTCTGTTTCTGGGTCCTGGGACCAGGTGGAGGCTCTGGTTGGCCACGCTGCACTGAGGTGGTGCAGTAGTGAGGCACACAGGAGGAACATCTTGCTTTTGTTGAGATTCAGCAGTCCTCACTACAGGTTGAAACCAGTCAGAAAGCAGACAGCAGACAGATAGAACAGTAGGTCTACGCGGTGCACTGTGTGTTTCCGTTGAAACCAGTCAGGAAGCAGACAGCAGACAGATAGGAACAGTAGGTCTACGCGGTGCACTGTGTGTTTCCGTTGAAACCAGTCAGAAAGCAAACAGCAGACAGATAGGAACAGAAGGACTACGCGGTGCACTGTGTGTTTCCGTTGAAACCAGTCAGAAAGCAAACAGCAGACAGATAGAACAGTAGGTCTACGCGGTGCACTGTGTGTTTCCGTTGAAACCAGTCAGGAAGCAAACAGCAGACAGATAGGAACAGAAGGACTACGCGGTGCACTGTGTGTTTCCGTTGAAACCAGTCAGGAAGCAAACAGCAGACAGATAGGAACAGTAGGTCTACGCGGTGCACTGTGTGTTTCCGTTGAAACCAGTCAGGAAGCAGACAGCAGACAGATAGAACAGTAGGACTACGCGGTGCACTGTGTGTTTCCGTTGAAACCAGTCAGAAAGCAAACAGCAGACAGATAGAACAGTAGGTCTACGCGGTGCACTGTGTGTTTCCGTTGAAACCAGTCAGAAAGCAAACAGCAGACAGATAGAACAGTAGGTCTACGCGGTGCACTGTGAGTTTCCGTTGAAACCAGTCAGAAAGCAAACAGCAGACAGATAGAACAGTAGGTCTACGCGGTGCACTGTGTGTTTCCGTTGAAACCAGTCAGAAAGCAAACAGCAGACAGATAGAACAGTAGGTCTACGCGGTGCACTGTGAGTTTCCGTTGAAACCAGTCAGAAAGCAAACAGCAGACAGATAGAACAGTAGGTCTACGCGGTGCACTGTGAGTTTCCGTTGAAACCAGTCAGAAAGCAAACAGCAGACAGATAGAACAGTAGGTCTACGCGGTGCACTGTGAGTTTCCGTTGAAACCAGTCAGAAAGCAAACAGCAGACAGATAGAACAGTAGGTCTACGCGGTGCACTGTGAGTTTCCGTTGAAACCAGTCAGAAAGCAAACAGCAGACAGATAGAACAGTAGGTCTACGCGGTGCACTGTGTGTTTCCGTTGAAACCAGTCAGGAAGCAAACAGCAGACAGATAGGAACAGTAGGTCTACGCGGTGCACTGTGTGTTTCCGTTGAAACCAGTCAGGAAGCAGACAGCAGACAGATAGGAACAGTAGGTCTACGCGGTGCACTGTGTGTTTCCGTTGAAACCAGTCAGGAAGCAGACAGCAGACAGATAGAACAGTAGGTCTATGCGGTGCACTGTATGTTTCCGTGACGGGCAGACTTGGAGTCATCATCACTCGCCACACTGAGAGACGTCGTTCTTCGGTCCTGCTGCGTAGACGTGACAAGAAACGAAGTGGAACGGCTGCCTCTGCAGTACCGTCCGGTGCCTCGGGGTCTCCATTATCCCCGCGGTGCTGAGATATGGTGGATCACCTACCGCTGTGCTGGCCGTCTTCAGTGAGGAAGACAGGCTTCTGGCTTTAATGAGGTCACGGCTTTGGTAAAGAGTACAGTGGTTAAAATGAACTGAGGTTAATGTAACAGATAGTAAATGTGTTTGCATTTACTGCAAAGCACTTCTTTCAGTGGGAATCTTAGAGCACATTTCTATATTTTTTTATGTGTATGAGTGTATTGCCTGCAAGTGTGTAAGTGCACCTGTGTTGTGCAGTGTCCATAGAGGTGAGAAGAAGCCTTTGGATCCCTGGAACTGGAGTTTGGGACGGTGTTTAGCTGCCATGTGGGTGCTAGGAACAGAACTCGGGTCCTCTGCAAGAGCAGTCAGTGCTCTTAATTACTGAGCCATCTCTCCAGCCCCTCATTTTTACCTTTTATGAATCATTCTTTTGACCTTATTTCTCTAGTAGCTCCCCCAAATAATATGTAGCACTTTTAGTTAAATTTATGTATTTAGAAGCCTGGGGATGTAGGTCAGTGGTAAGAGGGACTCGCCTAGCATATGTGAGGCCCTGGGTCCAACCTAGCACTGTCTCAAATTTTCATCTATATTGAGTGTTCATAATAAGGCCTATGCCAGCATCTCAAACTCTTTGATTTCAGAATTCCTTTACCATCTCCCCCTTACCTTTTTAAAGTCAAAAGCAAGGTTTTCTTAAGATTATATTCTTGAGAGAGCTGGAGAGATTGCTCAGCCGTTAAGAGCACTTGAAACTCTTGGGGAGGACCCAGGTTCAGTTCCCAGCATCATGGTGGCTCACAATGGTCTGTTACTCCAGTTGCAGGAGATCTGACCCCCTCTTCTGGTCTCTGTGGGTACTGTACACATGTATGTAGGCAAACACCTCATACACAAAATAAAAATAAAGAATATAATTGAAAAAATTATTTTTATATGAATGTTTTGCCTGCACCCATATACCCATGTCATGCTACTTATTGCTCAGCCGTTAAGAGCACTTGAAACTCTTGGGGAGGACCCAGGTTCAGTTCCCAGCATCATGGTGGCTCACAATGGTCTGTTACTCCAGTTGCAGGAGATCTGACCCCCTCTTCTGGTCTCTGTGGGTACTGTACACATGTATGTAGGCAAACACCTCATACACAAAATAAAAATAAAGAATATAATTGAAAAAATTACTTATTTTTATATGAATGTTTTGCCTGCACCCATATACCCATGTCATGCTACGCCTACGGAGGCCAGAGGAGGCGTCAGATCCTCTGGGAACGGAACCCGGGTCCTCTGCAAGAGCAGCCAATGCTTGTAACCACTGAGCTGTCTCTCCAGCCCCTTGATTATATTTTTGAGTGGCTGCAGGCCTGTGGCACACCTGTAATTCTAGCTCCCAGAAGGTAGAGGTTAGAAGGATCACCAAAGTTCAGGGCCAGCCTGGTCTATGTGGATTTGGTCTTTGTGGAGTGTCAAGGCTCCATGATGAGACCCTGTCTCAAAAAGAAAAAAACCAAAACACCTCCATATCAAAGGTGTTTAAGTTCTGATTGGTGTATCTTCCTTGACAGTTTTGAGGACCAGCCTTGTGCTTAGGCCCAAGCTGTACACCTACAGTTCTCAGTCTCTTGAATAGACCCCAGCATTTTACGGAAGACCAATTCCTCCCAATCCCAGATGGCAAGAAAGGAAGCACTTCATTGTTGACGCTGCACTTACATCACAGCCTTCATCACTCTGCTTAGGGTTAGGTTCTTGATCCTTATACTCAAAAGATAGGTACTAGTAAATTCACTACCAAATTTTTGTTACTATCATTTTTATATAGTAAAAAAAATTGGAGCTGGGCGTGGTGCGCACACCTTTAATCCCAACACTCAGGAGGCAGAGGCAGGCGGATCTCTGTGAGTTCAAGGCCAGCCTGGCCTACATAGTGAGTTCAGGTCAGCTGGGACTACAGGGGAACCCTGTCTCAAAAAGACAAAAAAAAAAAAAATTGTGTAAACCCAAGGCTAGGGCAGTTCTTTAACACTACAGGGACAAGCCTAATTCCAGAAGATTTTTTTTTTTTTTTCTTTTTGAGACAGGTCTTGCTGGGTAGCTTGGTTAACCTGGAACTCACTATGTAGACCAGGCTGGCCTCGAACTCACAGAGTTCCACCTACCTCTGCCTCCCGGGTGCTGGGACTGAAGATGTGTGTCACCACACCGTTCCGCAGGAAAAAAAAAAAAAATTAAGATTTATTTTATTCTTTTTTGGGTCTTTTTGAGACAGGGTCTCCCTGTAGCCCCAGCTGTCCTGGAACTCACTGTGTAGACCAGGCTGGCCTCGAACTCGCAGAGATTCGCTTGCCTCTGCCTCCCGAGTGCTGGGACTAAAGGTGTGCGCCCCCATGCCCGGTCTTATTTTGGTCTTTTTGAGACAGGGTCTCCCTATAGCCCCAGCTGGCCTGGAACTCAGTGTAGACCAGGCTGGCCTCAAATTCACAGAGATCTATCTACCTGCCTTAGCCTCCAGAGTGCTGGGATTAAAGGCATGCACAGTTCATTTTTATTTTTAATTAGGAGTGTGAGAGGCATAGGGTTCCCTGGAGCTGTAGTTACGGGCAGTTGTGAGCCACCCGATGGATGCTGGGAACTTGAGTCCTCTCCAAGAACAGTTGAGTGCTCCTAACCTGCTGAGCCATCTCTTCAGCCTGTCAGAGACAAGGTTTCCTGTAGCCCAGGCTGGCCTCAGACTTGCTATATAGTTAAGGTTGACCTTGAACACCTGATCCTGTTTCTACCTCCAGGTGTTGGGAGATTATAGGTGCGTGCCACCTCCACCAACTACCAGAAGTAGTAATAAAAATTTAAATAATGCTGGGTGTGGTGGCACATGCCTTTATTCCCAGCACTTGGGAGGCAGAGGCAGGCAGATCTCTATGAGATTTAGGCCAGCTTGGTCTACATAGTGAGCGCCAAGCCAGAAGGGACTACAGGGAGACTGTCTTAAAAGTACCAAAAAGGGAAAAAATTAAAAATTATTGCGTGTATGATACATATATGTGGGCATGTGTGCTACAGTGCGTTATGTGGCGGTTAAAGGACATCTTCATGGAGTTGGTTCTCTCATTCCACCTTTAAGTGGGTTCTGGGGATTGAACTCTGGTCACCAGGCAGGTAACACAAGTGCCTTTACCCACTGAGCCGTCTCTGTGGCCCAAGAAATACTTTGAGAAAGTACTTTGTGGGCACGGAGTAGGCCTGTAACCCACATGCTTGGAAGGCAGAGGCAGGAGCACTAGAAGTTCAGAGCGCCCACATGCCGCCAACAGCTGTCCTAAAGACCAGTTCTAGGTAGGGATCTGATGCCCTTTTTCAGACTCCACGGGCACTGCACTCACGTGGTGCACTTGTACACATGCGGGCAAAACACTCATACACATACACAAAACACACATACACATACACAAAACACTCATACACATACACAAAAATAAATGAAAGAGAAGACATGACATGGTGCTTTTGATGAATGACTACTTTTCATTTTCAGTGAGACAGGTAAATGCAGTGTGATTATTGCCCATTGGTACACATGAATCCTCCAAAGCCAGGCTGCCGAGGACAGGGGCACGGTGAGCACGGCCTTGGTTCTTCCTGTCTAGGGATGGAGGACTCTGAAACCATGGAAGATGTGTACATGGCCTCAGTGGAGACAGACCGAGGCGTGAAGGAACAGCTGCACCTGTACGACACCCGAGGCCTGCAGGAGGGCGTGGAGCTGCCGAAGCATTATTTTTCATTTGCTGATGGTTTTGTTCTTGTGTACAGTGTGAATAACCTTGAATCCTTTCAAAGAGTGGAGCTTCTAAAGAAGGAAATCGATAAGTTCAAAGACAAGAAAGAGGTGAGTGTCACATGAGGACGGAGCGTGCCGTTAGGATTTCCACGTGTCTGACGGGCAGTGCCAAGCGCATTCGGCACTGTTTCTTGCTCATTCACTCTGTACAAGGTATGCCTTCACGGCTCCGGAGCCCAGCTAGGATGCTTATCTTTCCTAAAAAAAAGCAAGCAAACTAGTAAGTAGTTGGCCTCTGCCCACCTACCAGTTTCTGCCTGCGTGGCTGGTTCTCCTGCCCGGAGCTCTCATCTCGGCTTCTCTACGTAGACCCTTCATGTGCTCGGTCATCATCCTCAGAGCCACACAGGCCCTTTTAGCCTAGATTCTTATGTTTTATCTACTTTCATTTTATATGTATGAGTGTATTGCCTGCATGTGTGTAAGTGCACCTGTGTCCTGCAGTGCCCTTGAAGGTCGGAAAAGGGCATTAGATTTCCCTGGAACTGGAGTTACGTTGTTGTCTGGATGCTGGGAACCAAACCTGGGTCTTGAGCAAGAGTAGTCAGTGCTCTTCCCCACTGAGCCATCTCTACAGCTCCCGCTGTATTTAATTTTATGTTGAGTGTCTTGAGACTATCGTAGGCTCACGTCTGT